ACTTCCGATTTGATTTGAAACTGTCTCATTGCTGTTTATCAATAAAACTTTGAAAAAAATAAAATAAAATAAATAAAATTAAAAAAAATACAATTAAGGGTGTTTGGGACCTTGATTAAAAAGGAAGAAGACATGCTGTGACAGGTATGCTGGAGGTTTGGGCAGCTTGTTTTAAATTGTAACAATAAAGCAACTATCTTGAGGGGTCATCTTGTAATTTCAGCCCCTGAACATGAGACCAAAATAAATATACATTTCACAGTTCTGTATTTCATCACCTCAAATCTTCTAGAGGAATTTTGAAAAATGAAGAAAAACAGAAACAACACCCAAATAAATTCTGACTTTGTGATTTAAAAAAAAAATTTAGATGAATAGTTTAAAATATGCTTTATAGACATGGTGTTCTATAATACCACTATTTTTCCCTTTTCATTTGCTTTCTAAGAAGAGAACAACCAAAAAAAGCTATAAATCTTTAAAAGGATACCAATTTGCATAATGCTTTTTTCTACCCATTTAGAAAACAAAACCATGGGTCTGCAGATTCTAACAGTCAAAGTGCTTGCTGATGAACCTTTAATTTTATTCATTCACAATTATCATTGATCACCTTGATGTATGAAAGACAAAAACAAATGAGAAATAATTCAAGATAATCTTTGGGAAAAAAATAAGCCATTTGCAGAGTCTTGCCATCTGTCCAGGAACCTTATAAGGACATTGGTCCATGGCAGCACTCTGAGGACGGCTGCCAGGTGTCAGGGGAGAAGACCATTCGAACCACCTGGAGGAACAGGGCATGTTTATTCTTTTTTTAAAAATTTTTTTTAAAATTTTTATTTATTTATTTATGTGTGTGTGTGTGTGTGTGTGTGTATGTGTGTGTGTGGCCAGCTCAGCCCACCAGGGGGCGGGGCTGGCTGGCATGTGGTGATGGGGGATTGAACCGTGGTTCCTGTGCTTTGCTAATCTTGTTCTAAGTAGGTGCTTTAGACCACTGAGCCATCTCATCAGCCCCCGGCATGTTTATTCTTGAACATGAGCCCTCCAAGTGGATAACTGGCCCTAAAGATTTGAAAGATATCAATTCCCAGTGTGCCATACCCGTCCTGCCCCCAGGAAGCACTGAGACAGCGATTGAGACTGGGTATGGTGGTGGGTGCCTGTAATCCCAGTGGTTGGGAGGCTAAAAACAGGAGGATCACTATGAGTCCAATCTATGTAGTGAGACCCTGTAGACCCTGTACTAAGTACATTAAAAAAAATAGAAAGATATTGGAATAGTTTAAAATTGCTTTTATTGTGGAACAATTTAAATGTTATTTAAAATCGAGAGAATAGCAAGAGACTCCAAGAAGCCCTCATTGCCTATGCTCTGCCGTCTTAGCTTGGCCGTGTGCCTGTGCTGCTGCCCCAGTTCTTGTGGGGCCGGTCTCATGCAGCATGCCATTTCATCCATAAGCACTTCAGTATATATTTTGTAGAGCTTTTTTTTTTTATTAAATTCTATGGGAGTAGTACTAGAATCACTGGGTAGAAACTACAAAATATTTCAGTTAAGCATAAGAAATAATTCTAGGCCAGTTGTAGTGGTGCACATCTGTAATCCTACCATTTGGGAGGCTGAGGCAGAACAATCATTGTGAGACAAGCAAATTGAGCTTAAATTCAGCCTGAACTGCATAGTGCGACCCTATCTCAAAAAGCAAAAAAAAAAAAGAAAGAAAGAGGAAAGAAAGAAAGAATTCTAACAGCTAAAAACTATAAGTTGATTGTTGATTGCCTTGGGAAGTGGTGAGTTTATCATTATGGATATCGTCAAGTCAAACTCAGATAATTCATTGTTAGTGATATAATAAAGGAATTTAGTCCTGGATGGGTGATCGGATTCAATCAGCAGTGCTCAAGCATCAGGCAGATGGCACTGACTTACTGTACACACTCCTAGATAGTTCCTGTAAGCCCCTTAGTATTGAAGGATATTAAAGTAGAAGCAAGAAGGAAGTTATTACCACACAGATAGTTTAATTTAGGGACAATAAAAATTCCATTACAAATTCTGGTACTTGGAACAGAAACTAATTTGGGGACACATCCAATAGTGACTCTTTTTTTTTTCTTTGTATTTTAGGGAAGGGTCTACAAGGTGTTCTGGGTCTCACTACTAGATTGGACTCATAGTGATTCTCCTATTTACTGCCTCCCAAGAGCTGGGATTACACGCATGCGCCACCAGGCCTTCTCAGTTGCTGTCTCTGTGCCCCCGGGGGGGTGGGGCTGTCATGGCAGGCCCGGGGATTGAACCTCCAGCCCCTGAGCAGGCTCATTAATCCACTGAGCTATTTGGCCAGCACTTCCAGTAGTGACTCTTGATATCAAGCAACTCCATGCTCTGGAAGCGAGAACCACCGAACCACTTGACCAGTTAGGTCTGAACTCACGAGGTAGGTTTTTGGCTCTGGCAGAGCAGTAAGGACCTAAGTGTGTTTCTGCAGAGGCACTACTCACATGGAGAAATTGGAGATGAAGGCTCCTTTGGGAATTTGGACATCAAATATGACATCTTGAGGCTGTGGGGAGTTGTTCACCAGCTTGCTCTGGATGATGGTATTGGCTACACGAGAAGTAATTGTGGACTGAACTTTATAGCTATACAGAGTTACTTGATCAACATCCTCCTGGAATTGGCAAGAAGGCATAACTAGTCATTAAAAACCACACAGAACATCACTACACACATGATAGTTACAGTAGTAACATTTTGCTCGTTATAATTAGTTCTAAGGCATTGGTGAATATATAATTCAGGTATTTTTGAGCAGTGTCTTAACTTCTTGGAGCATAAGGAGTGGCTTTTGTTCTGAGATAAAGTTTTGAGATACTTTGAGAATATATATATATATACATATATATATATATATATATCCATATCCATGTAGAAAATGATTGCAGAAAGACTAGATTGAAAATGTCCAGCAAATAACTTTGTATTCAGAGCCACCCTGGGGAAAGGAAGAAGGATCAGGGTTTGAAGAGGCAACTTACTGTGTTTGAGTACAGTGAGTGCTAGACAGGCTGCTGTGGAGGGCACAGCACGTTATGGCACTACCTTCCTACCTTCTCTAGTTTCATCTGTTACTATTCCATCTTTAGTCTTCATTTCTTGCATTGAATTAGAATGAGCTATGAGAACACTGGTGCTTGTGAGTGGCAGACTATTCTGTAGAGGTCCTTGCGGTGCGATTATTGGTTCCCACCCTGGACCTCCTTTCCCACCTTCTCTGTCAATTTAAGGCAGCCTTCGTATAAAAAAGAAATCACAGCAGATCCATATGCTCAAAGGCAAGGTATGAAAAACCCACATCTTAGTGTATGTCTGAGGCCTGTAATCTTTATTACGTCAACAGCAATTATGTGACCTACTAGATCTTCCTTTTTTGCTCCTGTTTTTTTTAATACTAGATCTCATCCTCCCAACTTTATTGTTTAAGGTTAAGCCTTGCAACTAGTTAACACCAAGGTCATCTCAAGCTAGGATAAAATCCAGCCTAACTGACTTGCCATTCTACCCCTCTCAAGTGTGAGCCCCCAATGGTTATCATCAGCTCAGAGCAGAAAGTGCAATATAGGTCACTTCTTTTGGCTGTTCCCCAGAAGGTCTGCTTGGAACATCTCAGGATGGGCCATCTCATGTCTGGCAGTGCTTTTCCACAGCCGCTATTTTGTTCTCCATAGCTATCAGGTGTTCTGTTCTGCATCAAACTGTTAAGTTGGAATAAATACATACATTTGGTTGGAACCTATACTGTTGGTAAAACTACATAAAGTAAAAAGGCATTTATTATCTCTTCGTGACATTTGTCTTATCTGCTCAAACTGTACTGTTGCTGTTGAGATTTAGAAACCCTTCCAAACAGAATTGGGAAAGGAAGGTATTTCAAAAGGCAGGTAAATACACCCAGTGACGATGATAAAACAGACACCTCAATTGATTTCCAGATAATAGTTAACAGGAAAATCATTCAGATATCAATTTGTAACAATCAAAGCAAACCTACCATGCTTTTGCCCGATTCATCTTCAGGAAGGCTTCTCTGTGGAAGGAAGTTAGACATTCTTCAACTGCATGTTACTTATTACCTTGAGGGCAAAAACTGTTCTCTCAGGCAAAAAAAAAAAATTATTTTCTTTGGATACTGAACTGTAGCTCATTTGTTGGAGCTGAGACATAAGCATAGAATATTCTTGAAATCTATTTTTTCACTAGTGAGTTTATCTGGGCAAATTTCTCAGCCATTCTTGGTTTCATGGACACCATTCTATGATGACAATGCTAAGACAAATATTTTTGCAATGAAAATGCCCAACCACATTCACATATATCCCCTTTACTCCATCTGTCTGATTAGCTTTTTATTCGATTGAATGGTGATTTGACTATTGCCTTCTTCCTTGAGGCTGTGGGGCTTTGGATATGCTGTTTCCACCATCTGAAATGCCAGGTCTCCTCTGGCCCCATTCTTTACATCTCAGCTCTGGTAGAATTTCCTTAGTGAAATTCTGACCCCCAGATTGGTCAGTTTTCTTTACTATATGTTCTTATTGCAGCTTATTCCTGCCCTTAGAGCATCTAATGGGCTTTATAAAGATCCATTCTACCTCACAGATGGTTTACTTAGGGTCTGTCTCTGTTTTGGATTGAGAGCAGAGACTTTGATGTGCCTTCTCTATGGTTAGCCGTCGTGCCAAGCACAATGGCTGGCACCTGAAAAATTCTGGGCTTTTGCCTGCATGCTAGCAACTTATCCTTGTGAGCAACCGTCCCATGGGAGGGTCAGAGGAAGCCATCTTTTCTTTGAAAGGTGAGAGGCTGAAGAGTAGTGGGTGAACATTTGATGTTTGAGAGATTATAAAATAAGTCAAGTGTTGGGTGTACAGTCAGTGCTGAATTTGGGGTGAATTGAGATTTCAGTGAATGCTGTGTAGCGAAATGACTGTTTTCTTTTGGACATTTTGAGTGCAAAGCTCAGTAAGAGGTTTTCTCTTGTGCAGGTAAAGACATGACGTGAAGTCTCGTCTACTGGCTTTTAATATTATTGACCTACAAACACCTGGACTTTAGAAAGTCGAACATTCACACTCATACAGTTGGTGAGCTAAGTGTTGCTCCCATGAATGTCCTCTCCTAGAACATGGGCTGCGCTGGAGAATCCGAGCCCTTCCTGGCATTGCAGAGGACTAACCCCATGAATTAGGGGACCCCGCCTTTGCTGCTTCTGCAACCTCTAGGGTGTAGCCCCACACTAGTCAGGTCTCCTTCCCAAGGGTCTCTCTGGGCTGCTTCTCAAGACAGCGTGACCAGAGGAAGGAAAGGTGTGCTGCAATGCAAAGTGTCTGTCATCACTGGTGGGGAGACGTGCACCTAAAAGGAGCTCCTTCTTCCCAGGCAATGCAGCCATTGCATTATCTTACATCTGAAGAAACACAGCCAAGTGTCCCGGGAGGTACTACGCGGCCACTATGGTTGGAGGCTGCTCGCCACCTGATGGGAGCTCCACTTTCTTCCCCTTGCCGGTGCTGCCTCTAGGTGAAAAACCACCCAACTCAGCTCAAAAGTGAGCTCTTGAGAAAAACCTGTCAACAGGCATCTTTATGACGCTCTTACTTCGGTGGCAAACAACATCACAAAGTGTTTCCCCTTCAGGAGCCAAGCTTCCTGTACCTGGTACCGCTGGTTGTCAGGGATAAACTGAAATTTGCCTGGGGCCAATTCCACAAGATTTCCATATGCTGCAAACTGAAAAAAAAAATTGAGGGTACTTATTTCCACTTAAAAATGTTTCGAGCCAAGAGGCACTGGTAGTATTCATTGTATTACTTTACACTTTTTTTTTCTTTTATCTCTGTATAGTTTTTCTTTCTAAACAAATGATTTCTACAGTACACTTATGTTTACTAGCAAAGTCTCAGAGGAGAGTAAATGGAAATTAACATAAAATCATAAACATATATATAAATATGGAGTGCCATCTGATGTTCTGACACACGTATATGGTCCGTTAATGTTTAAATCAGGGTAAATATATCTATTTCCTGCAATATCAGTTTTCTTTTTTACTTTATGAAAAAATAAAAACACATTTTTCAAAAACAAATAATGAGAGAATAACAATAATTATTACACTACCTACTCTCATCTTTGAAGTATTTCTTGCATTTTTGGTAGGCAGTCCACCCTTTCAGCATTAAGGACTTCTCCATTTGCTATGATAGTTCTAAAACATATTTTGCCTTTCTAGCATAAACCTAGCTCTTGTCTGACTTTCAGAATGACTCGGTCCAAGAATTTCCTTCCGTTAGGGTGGCTGAGGGGTCAAGCGGAGGCTGAGTCCCGTGGAATGCTTCCTCTACTTTGCCAACCACTTGTCATCTCCCCTTATAGTAAGAATACTTGAACTGTCTTTATTATGAAAATCATTGTTCAGTTAGCTAAGGAACACAGCAGTGCCATGATAATGACTTTTATTAAGAGTGGCACGGTCTTTCTTAACAGTAATACTGCTAATTGTTAAGCACTCTCTAGTCTGTGGACAGTGCTAGGTGACTTGCACACATCAGGTAAATCTCATCAAAATTCTGTCTATTCTCACTCCATTTTTAAGTAAGGAATCAAGAGTTGTGCTCCAGAAATGTTGCTCTATGATTCCTGACCACTGGACTTGACTTCAGGCCCATACAAAGCCTGTTAGTGTATTAAGAGACAAACACACATTGCAGTAATTCTACCATGAACACTGGTAATTGGATGAATATTCCCACCAGTGTCTGCTCTCCATTGGACAAGGTCACTGAATAGCAATTGCGGTACGACCAGCTCTCTGCTGACCATATGTTTAGGACAATGGCAAGGAGCCCTTTGCAATTACTTACTTCGGAAAGTCCGCTTGTGGGGATTTCGAAGGCTGATGCTTCCAGAAGAAATAGCCAGGCAAGAAAGCACGAGAGTTGTTTCATCTTTCTGGACAGCTTTGCCAACTGCTCCAGAGCAGCTGGTCTGGGAGAACACCGCTCCTTCCCGCTGAGTCAAGTTCAAAAGAAACACAGAAGAGAAGAGTTCACTTGAAAAAAGAAGTAAAAGAAGAAAGCTCTCTAACTTTGTTTAAAATGTGGACAAATATTTGTTTTGGAGCTCAAACTTGAGCCATGGGGGTGGAAGGGGCACCTGGAGGTTACTCAAACAGCAAAGCCAGCAGCAGTTACCAGGCTGCAGAGAAAAGGGAGGGTCAGAATCGGGGGCAGATGGCTGTGCTTTTTTTTTTTTCTTTTTCTTTCACTAATTTCTATTGACCTAAAAATAATTGTCTTTAAAAGGCCAAGGGTGGAACCATACCAAGAAATAGAGGCAGAGAGAGACACTAAAGTAGAAAATTTCTGGAAACAATTCTTTCATTTAAATGAAAGCAGGAGGTAGCTAGGCGTGCGTGCACATGTCCATTGTTGGAGGACTGAGGCACGAAAGCTGAAAGTTTGAAGCCAGCCTGGCCATTTCAGTGAGACCTTGTACCAAAATCAAATTTAAAACAACTCAGAGGTAGAGCACTTGCCCAGCATTCATAAGGCCTTGGGTTCAATCCCTAACACTGCAAAAACAAACAACAAACAAATAAAAATTTTAAAAGAAAGTAGCAGAAATTTAGGAAAAGTAAGAAAAAAAAAGACATTGGTCTTCATTTTTAAAATTAATTAATTAATTTGGTACAGGGTCTTGCTATGCAGCTCCGACTTGTAATCCTCCTTTCTCAGCCTCCCAGCACTGGGATGATAGGCATGTGCCACCATGCTGGGGGTCTGAGGTCAGCACAGTATTCAGTACTGGGGATTGAATCCGGGTCCTTGCACTTGCCAAGCAGGTGCCTAGCCTGCTGAGCTCTCTCCCCAGCCCAACACTGTTTCTCAGCTAACAATTCATGGTTAGTGTTTCCCTCTCTCTCTCTCTGATGACAGAGAGCCTCTTATGTTCAAAGTTGATGCAGAAGACAAAGACTCCCTCTTCAGGGAGAATCCCAGCCTCTTGAGGGATCTGATGAAGACTGCACTGTGTGTCTCTGCTGTTCCCTGATCTCAGTTTGCCTCATGGCACAGTGAGCTCCACCATTCTGGTGAGTCACTGGTAAAAAAATTATGAACTATAAAGTGGCTGCTACGTTATTTCTACAGGAGGAACCAATTCCCAGGAAATCACATGGGAAGAATAATTGTGGAAAATTTAACATCCAAGGAAGATGGACAACAAACACACTGACAAATAATGCGAAATGCCTAAGCAAATGATTCAGTTAGTTAATGAGTTGGCTCAAGTGCCACAAACAGAGACAGGGACTTTACTATGTCTACTAGGTGCTGAATACACACATGCAAATTGTGGGGAATCCTTACCTTCTGGTGCTGCAGGGCTGTGGTGGGGGAGGAGGAAAGGTGTCTAGGATGGGAGGTGAGCTGAGAACCTGGTGCAGTGCGAATCATACACAGGAAGTGGGGTTCACTGCCTGACAACGTGTGTGCACATTCTGCGGAGAAGATGGGCTTCCTCAGGTGGCTCTAGAGAGGTGGAGGATTTCTCCGGGTTGGGGGGTGGGAGGCTCCCTCAGTGAGATGAACATGCAGGGCTAGCCAGCCACACAGGGACACAGACATGCATCGGAGTGGCAGGGGCTGGAGGGGAGTTGGAGGGAGCAGGCAGCTGAGGTCGAGACCCACAGGGTACCAAGCACACCAGACCACAGGAGCCAGAGCTCTGTGTTCCATCCAGCGGGGACACATAGGGGGGTTGTTAGAAATGAGAAGCCTAGTGAATAATATTCATGTTTTATAACAATCCCGTAAGTGCACTCAGGTGATGAAAGAGGCTAGAGGAGATGCTGAGGACACATCCACAGATGGACAGTTTTGCTGAGATAGTGAGACCAAGGCTGTGGCAATGAAGACAGCTGGAGGAGAGGGCTCATAATAAAGTCCTGGGAAATGCCAGATACTAATGTAAAATGCAGGCATGTGTCTCTGACATACAGAAGTATGTGTGCAAGTTATTGTTAAGTAATAATAAACAGCATGCAGATAAGGACATATATTTATACCTACAAGGAAAAGTGTGTAGATTGGCAAATAGTCAAGAAATCATAGTGATTAAAACATCTTGGTGGCAAGCTTCTCAGTAATTTATTCTTTGTTCTTCAGGGTAGTTGCTAAGATCACTGTGTTTAGCAGCCTGTCTTCCTGGTTCATAATCCTGCTCTTCTCTCTTGCTAGTCTTGAGATCTTACATGGTCTCACTAATCTCCGTGAGCTTTATTTGTTAAATGACAATGATTTTTCATTGCATTCCTCCCCAACTCATACATTAAAGCTGTAGCTCTTACTGCATCTATACTTGAAGGAAGTAATTAGATGAAGTTATGAGGGTGGAGCCCTTATCCAGTAGGATTGGTGTCCTATGAAACACAGGAGTGTGTATCCTCTTTCTTCTTCCTCTCTGTTTTCTTCTACCCTTTCCATGACTTCCTTCTACTGCTGAGGACAGAGTGAGAAGACAGCGCCAGTCTATAAAGCAGGAAAACAATTCTCACTGGAGACCAAACTGTCTTACCCTCTGATGTTGGACCTCCAGGTTTCGGAACTGTGAGAAATGAATTTGTTTCAGCTGTTCAGTTTGTGATATTTGGTTATAGCAGCCCGAGTTAAGATGCATATCTACTTTTACAGTGTTTTTGTGAACATTAAGTATGATACTATTTGCAAGCTACTTAACATATACTAAGTGCTCAATAAACATTATTTACCAATTAACTTTTTTTTGAGACAGGGTCTCACTATTTAGTCCATGCTGGCCTTGAGCTTACCATATAGCCCAGGCTGGCCTTGAACTCATGGTGATCCTCCTGACTTAGTCTCCTGAGTGCTGGGATTATAGGTGTGTACCATCACACCAAGTCAAATTAACTTTGTCATTAAAGAAGAATGTGGATTTCTATATTCAGGGCACATAAAAAGAGTTTAATACTTAATACTTATTAGCTATTTTTGTCTATGAGGTTACTCCTATTTTCAGATTTTTTTTTTTTCTTTTGAGACAGGGTCTTACTATGTAGTTCAGTCTGGCCTTGAACCCACTATGTAAATTCATGGTGTTCTGCTGCCTCAGCCTCCTCAGTGCTGGGATTACATGTATGCATCACCAAGTCTGGCCAATTTTCAGATAAATGGCATAAGTCCTTATTTAGATCCTATCATTGTTTTTTCCTGCATATTTGCAGGTGGTTAACGAATGTCTCCTTGAAGACATAATACATTTTCCCTCACATTACTTTCTTTAATTGCTTTTTATTTTTTGTCTCTGCTCAACAGTTGAATTTCTTTAGTATTGCACAGTATTATCAAGCTCTCCCTGTAAGATTTGCACAGGAGGTGGTGCACTGAAGACACTTCAGATATTAATGTCTTGGTAGACTTTTATTTTCCTTGTAGCAAACAAAGACAGCTTCTTGAGCAAGGAGCTGAGATACACAGTTCTGGTTGTGGACAGACTTACAACATGGGAAGGTGTCTCACATCTAAGGCCAGGGACTCTGCCAATTTCTGGTTTCTCCCAGCTCCCTGATACATGTAAACTTAATCTGCAGGGTGTATAACTGAGACTTGTCTGTTTTACTGCCTAGCTTTTGTCTTCAGCCTCTGAATTACACAGGAGTGACTGTGCTGGGGGAAATACAAGTTCTGGAATAATGGAAAAGAGCAAGTGGATCACCCTTCCCTCATCTGTGATGTGCTTGCTGGGCTCTTGCCCAGGTCAAGCGGCTCCTTGGCCAAGTCCCCATGGGAAGGCCCTGCCCTTGCTTTGCATTTATGACCCAAAGGTATGTTTTTCAAAAGTGGTGATCATTGACATTCTGGCCTCTTCCATCAATCATTTCATCTTCAATTCTGTTATTCAAAATTACTTAAGGAACCATACCAAGGACAGCCTGGGTCACACCTGCTATTGGCCTGTCTCCAGACCCCAAGGTCTTGGGAAAAACACCCTGTTTGTTCTTGCTTGAGGTTCAGAAGTACAGAGGCCCCCATCTGGGTAGGTTGTATGTTCAGGTCACTGAGTCCTGAACCTGTGACCCAGCCACTCCCCTCTCCCATGCTCAGGCAGCTTAAAGGTGGTGAGCTGAACGTGTCCATGGTGCCCAATGTTCCTGATTTATAAGATTAAAAGTACTACTGTGATGGCTACATGAACATTCACTTTCATGAAAGTGAATACCAGTGGGAAATCCACAAGGAAAAAATTTATAAGATGTCAACTATTAGAACAAACTAGTAACTTAATAGAATACTCATTGAGAATTCTGAAAAATATGAATAAAATTGAAAATCATTGCTGCAAATATGTGATTCTGATTGGTTATTAGTATAGCCATAGCAGTCACATATTTATAATATTTAGTTTTATCATTATGAATGTATGTGACCTTTAAAATCCAAAGTTGAACTAACGTATCTGACCCTTGCATCATTGTTCACTAAGACAGGTGAGGTGCACTATGGAAAAGATCTGTTTTCTACTTCTATTTGAGCTCTGATATCTTGCTCCTCCTACTGAAGTCAAGACATTTCGTGAAGGGTTAGCTGTTTGAATGCTCAAGATGATATTCTTGTGCTCCGCCAACTCTTTCCCCCTCCTTTAGGCCCAGCTGTGGCTTAGTGATCTGGAACCAGAACATAAAGTTGTATTAGAAGAAAAGTGTTGGAAAAAGAATAGATGTACGGGAGTGTAGGGCTGATACTCTCATTTGTTCTTGAGCCAATAAACTCTGCTGCTAAGCCATTTCAGTTATTTTATGTTCTGTGTTTGTGGTGTTTAAAGTTCGAATGCATGCTCACTGCTAGAGCAGAGACAGTTGGGCTCAGGGTACCTGACCAGCTACATTTTGCACAAATCTCTGTGTACCATTCTAGTGCAGAAGTTGCTGGTGTTCTTTCTAGGGTGTCTCATCTCTCTGGTACGGGAAGGTCCAACACTGGGATTTGAGTCACCCTAGTACTCTAACTAGCATGGTGTTCTGTGCTCCAGGTGGGAAGTTCCTTCACATGAGTATTGGGATA